GTGTGTGTTCATTCACTTAGCTTCATAACATTCTGATGAAGTAAGTGCTGTGTTGCTCTATCTCACAAGTGAGGAACTTAAAGTCCGAAAACATCTGAGTGCTTTAGTCAAGGTCATACAGACAGCAAATGACAGGTCCTCTCTGGGACAGAGTCCCCACAAAGGACAGAGTCCCCACAAAGGCATGGGGATTGGTTTGTTTATTATTATATTTACTCAGTGCCTGGTATCAAGTGGGTGAGTGAATACCAGGACAAACAAAGGAGCAAGTAAAATAAGAAAAGGAGTAGCTGATGAGTACAGAGCGGTATGAGGACAGAGTCCAGATTTCTCCCACTCTAAACAGGTGTTTTCTGCATTTCTTGGTGCTCCCCTGTGTTTCTATTATTTCCCAAGTAGCCTGTAGGTGTTTCAATGAGATTCCTGAATTAGTTCTTTTTTGTCCAGCTAATATAAAGATACGGTTTCTGAATCTGCCACATTTTTTTTGTGTGTGTCTTCTTTCACATAGCATCAATAACTATGTGAGAGTACTTGAGTGATGATGGAATATCATTTATCTTCTTAGGATTAGGTATGGCAGAGTCCTGGGGTTGCTGCAGCCCATGTACCTTAGACCCAGCAGGAGTTTCCCGTGGCCCATGCTTGAAGAAAGCCTTTGGCTGAATTTGTTATCCACAGGCATCACTTGGGAGACGTAGCTGCAGAGCACGCCTGAAAGGCAAGGGTGGAGGACATCCTGGGCCTAACTTCTTGGATGGAGAGGTAGCCGAGGAGATCATTTGTGGTGTTTGTGGGCGCCAGTGAAAGGTTGGCTAGACAGTCAGGGGTCTGGAAGGTAGAAGGTTAACAACTGGGCGTTCTGGGAAAGTAATGCATGGGTGGGTCTCCAGATAACATTTGTGGAGATATGTAGGTTCTAGAAATAGTCACCAAAGAGCAACTTTGGCAGAGGAGGGCCATAATGAAAGTGAACAGGCTGTCCCATGCTGTGGTCATCAGCCCGTGTCTCCAGGCTCCCCTGCTTCTGCACAATGGATGCAGGTGAGATGGAGACTCCGCAACATTTCTTCTTCCAAGGCTTATTAACTACTGTAACTACCGTGGCTTAGATGTTTCCAAATCAGACGTCCATGCTTAATCCTCCAATATGGCGTTGTTCCCAGAAGGGCTGAGCATTCAGCTGGTGGGCAGTTTTATTATAAGAGACTATCATTTGACAGTCAGGGTCTTTAGGTCTTTGAGCCAAAAATCTGGGGTGATTGTGCCTGGTGACCTAGAAGAAAGCGTTTCTGCCACACAGAAGGGTTTTAGACATCTCTTAGTGAAACACAGGAAAAGACTATAGGAGCCAAGAAAAGTAGGATTGCCAAGGGACAAGACCTGACAGAATGAAGGTTTGGCCACTTGCCTAGGTGACAAACCCCATCTGAGCTGCTAACAGAAGCAGAAAGGATTCGAACTCTACAGCAGAAGAAGAAAGCTCTGGGTAGCAACTGTGGCCAGCGACACAAAGCTGTTAGTGTTCATTCTTTGCTTTCCTTCTTCTTCATATTTCTATTAATGAAAAATAATTCCCCCCCTTTCCTATTGCTTTATAGAAAGAGTATGAGTGGGAACTGTTAACTTGGTTTGGGGGCTCTAGGGTACCCAGAGTGGGAGACAGTGTCTGATGGACTTTTCTGGAGACAGCAAGAGTATCTTTGCATAAAAGCATAATTGCATTTTAAGGGGAGAAGCGTGTGCCTTGCTGGTGAAGGGGTGTTTAGACGTTATTAAAGGGTGCGGATGCTGAGGAGTCAACGGAACGGACTGTACCAATTTGGAGCTGTCTCTTTAATCCACGGTAGCTCTTTTTTAATGTGGTCACATCAGGTTAAGCTGAGCACCAGCATCCATGTGAGAGCCAGGAAGTCAGTCTCTCTCACTTCCTGTTAGCTTTTGCTACCAAGAGGCCCCGGTGGTAAGCCGGACAAGAAGGGGAGACGCTACTTCTTTAATAGGTGAAACCCGTACTCAGATGAACTAAGATAAACCGTTAGCCTCTCCGGATATTTGATGTTGGTAACTGATGAAAAACTTAACAGAGCTGAATTACACAGCACCGAAAACCACAAGTCATTATGCTATCAGTGCCTGATGCCATTGCTACTGATCAGAGTTAGCCTGGGCATTTTGACTGCTCTCTCTGGGAAGGCCTGGGGAATGTTATCTGCCCTGCCGATCGCTGTGCATTCCTGGTTTATTAAAATGTGCGAAGTGAACCTGCGCTTTCCTCTGAGGTAGCATTGAGCCCCTTTGATCTTTATTGACTTCCACTGACAGGATTTGGAAGTCTCTGTTGGCGTCAGAAAAGACAAAAGAGTGGGTCAGATAGCTGTTTGATATTTGGCCTCTTTTAACTGAAACAATTGCAGTCTTTATAAGTCCATTTATTATGAATATTTGGTGACTAACTGTGCTTAAACATCTGTGAAGATGAAATTTCAAAAAATGATTATTTTGGCTGTGCTGTATGGTTGATTATATGAAATGTGACTGAAGTGGGCACTTCAGAATGGTTAATTCTCTGTTATGGGAATTTTGCTTCGATTAAAGAAAAGCCAAGTATCCTTGTTTTACAATGAATATTTTGTTTGTGTGAACTGAAGTTGCTAGAAAAAAGCCACAGATATGTTAAAGATTCTACAAAGATGATGGATAGATTAGAACTTTGGGACTGTGGACTTGTAGACCCAGAGCTAAATTATTTTAGGCTGTCTTTAGCCCCTTAACAATTATTTACCCCCTACCTCTGTTTTACCTAACACCCCGTGACTCTCAGGGAAATGTTTGGAAATACATTAACAGACCAGTAGTTTCCCTCCACCCCAAGGCTCAGACTACCACCAGACAGCCCCCACCCCTCCCCCATTGCTCCCCCATGTTGTTTTGTGACCCCCTTCTCTGTGACCACCCACCTGCCGTTTTCAAATATGAAAACAGTAATTCACGACTTTCTTTTGTTCTATAACTGTAAAAACCCCAGGAAACCATTTGCATGTAAGAACATGATATCTGGGGCAACCTGAGTTAATCCGTGTTTCCGGGTTATGGCCACTTATGTTTGGCTTTAGAATAAACTATCCCTTGTTTCCTGTGAGGTGAGCTGCGTTTTGCCTGGACATGTGGCTACAATTTCACCTTGGTTCAAGGATATCTACAGGAGAGCTCATTGCTAGTTTCAGCTTATCTTTATACCGAGAGCCAGTTAAAAGAGTTCTCAGATCTCAGGCAGTTTTTTATCTCTAGTGACGTTCATGAATTTTAATCATATAATAGATAAAACAAGCCAGGAGCGGCTCCCACTGGCTATTAACTACATCAAAAGAATGAAAACACCCAAGTATAAAAACTGTACAGATTGTCTCAAGATTCTTTCTTATGAGAACTTAAAAAAAAAGATCAGTTTTAAACTGTCATGAAATCACTAACATGCAGAGATTGGTTAAGATAGTTATCGTAAGATTCCTGCTCAATATTAATTTTTCATAATGCTTGTGTCTGTGTGGATCACACTGTTCTCCTTTCAGAATAAAAGTACTTAGAGGAAAAGCATGCCTCTTTTCAGGATGATTATTCATCTTCTTCAGATGCTGTTGAGGATTTTGGGGGGCCCGAGAGATGGCTTAAAGGGTAAAGGCACATGCTGCCAAGCCTGACAACCTGCATTGGATTCCTGGACCCATGTGGCACAAGGACAGAGCCATGTCTAACAAGTTGTCTTCTGGTCTCCTCAAGCATGGTGGCATCCCCACTACACCCATAAGTCAATAATGTAATAAAATTTTAAATATTTTTTTTTGTGGACTTAATGTTGTTGGTTGGTTTTTCAGTGCTGGGGATTGAACTCAGAGCCCTGCACACGCTAAGCAAGCACTCTCCCTCTGAGCTACATCCCAGGCCCTGTTGATGGACATTTTCTGAAGCTTACAGTTATGAAGACAATCGTTTTAAGTTTGTTTGGACATTCAACGGGATATTTTTTTTTTCTTATTTAATGTGTAGCCCAGGCTGGCCTCGAACTCATGATCCTCCTGCCTCCGCCTCGTTCAGCAAATCCTACAGGTGTGCGCCGCCGTCGCCGCCGCCGCCGCCACCACCACCACCCGCTCAACGGGATATTTATTGGTGGAATATATTTTCTATTTATTATAGCTTATCTTTAGTCTTGACTTAAAGCTTCAAATATTTTAATCCTTTTCTTTTTCAAAGCCCAAAGTCTTATTTATTTCATGGTAGAATCAATTTGTGCTGAGGGAAGTTGTTATTATTATATGTTGGTAAGAGGCACCTTTCCTTTTTTTTTGTTTTGTTTTTTTCGAGACAGGGTTTCTCTGTGTAGTTTTGGTGCCTGTCCTGGATCTCACTCTGTAGAGCAGGCTGGCCTCAAATCCACAGAGATCTGCCTGGCTCTGCCTCTCAAGTGCTTGGATTAAGGGCGGAGGCACCTTTCCTTTAGTGTACTTCACTTTATTTGGCCCCATTTTTTTCTACTTAGGTCTTTGGCACAAAGAACGAATATGTATTATTCAAATATACTTGTTATTTTCAAAAGACTATTCCAGAGCCAGCTCATTTAATTGACTTGAGCAAGGCCCAGTTCATTCACTGGGTTCTGTGTCAGTCAGCTGTCTGTTACTGTGACAGAATGCCTGGCTACCTTAAGGGGAGGAAGGGTTTCTTCTGGCTCAAGGTTTTGGTCTGTGACCACTTGGACTCTGGGTCTGGGGTGAGGCACAGCCTGTGGTGAATATGTGTGAGCACAAAGCTGCTCACCTCATGACAGCCGGGAAGTAGAGAAGAGAGAGGCAGAGAGAGAGAGAGAGAGAGAGAGAGAGAGAGAGAGAGAGAGAGAGAGAGAGAGAGAGAGGTGAGGAAGGGGGAGAGAACTCAACTAAGCACCCTTAATGAACCACTTCAGCTAGGTACTGACCTCCAGTAACTCTCAGTAGCTCTGGCAGCCGAGGGGCAAGCCTTCAACACACGAGCTCCGAGGGGACATCTAAGATCAAATTCACAACACTAACCTTCAGGCTTGACTTCTTTGTCATGTGAACAAATTTGTCATCACGATGTGTTGTATCAATTTCCTCTTCCTGCTTGACAAAATACCACAAGCTCAAGGGCTTAAGATCTCATGCATTTATTGTCCTAAAGCTCTGGGGGTGGTAGTGTCAGAATTGTCAATCAGTTCCCAACAAGTTAAAGTTGAGGTGTCGGGATAGCTACGGAGTTTTCATAGGGGCTTCGGAACAGAATTCTTCTCTTGGTCTTCTCCAGCTCTGAGAAGGTTCTTCAGCTCACGGCAGTCTGTTCTTGAAGCTAGATGTCCTGCATGGTCTGGGGAATGATCCTCTATAGCCCTGGCCCTAATTTTGGTTTTTGAGTGAGTGAGCTGATTAAGTATAGAGCAAGCCAAAGTACAAGAATAAATAGTAAGAGGTTGTTAGGTAAGTAGATAGATAGATAGATAGGTAGGTGCTCAAAACAACCAGCGGAAATTGTGGAAATCCCCTTAGAGGCAGCCAGCTGAAGTTCTCAGCTCCGAGTCCCATGCAAAGCAGAGTGTCCCCTCAGGTAAGGCTGCTAAAAAACAAAACAAAACAAATACCTACAGAGATAACATCGCAAATCTAGTGCTCACCACAGCCAACAGAAACTAACCGAGGAAGCTAAGGCAGCCAGCTGGAGTTCCAAATGGAGCTTTCTCTCCCGTGGCTGAGCTTCCGGCTTCCCTATCTCCCTGTAGTTATTTTTATATCACGAGATAAACAATAGTAACGTCCTCTTGGAACTGGTTCACCTTCTGGTTGTTCTCAAGGGCACAGTGTTTTCACGCGTAGGCTGCTTTGTTGTTTACTGCCTGTCCCAGAGCTTATAGATGGAGGGGATGAATGATGGATGGGTGGATGGATGGATGGATGGAGGCAATCTCATCTCAGACAAGAGGTCTTAGAGGACACTTGACATAAACATGCATAGGTCTAAAATGTGTGTGTGTGTGTGTGTGGACTGCCTCCAGAGCCAGCTTCTCAGTGAGCTTAAACAGCATGTGACAGTTTACCGATCTAAGCCCCATTACAGCAGCAGACAGAGCTTGTTTGGAGTTTCTCACCCTGCATCATTCAGACGCCTCCCTCTTTCACTTACAATCATATCTGCAAAATTCATTTGGCTATTTGAGGTAATCAGTCCACAAGTTCAGAGGAGTACAGTGCTGACATCTTCAGGGGGCCATTATTCTGCTTGCTGCATGTAATAGTAAAAAAAACAAATCATCAAAACCCAATGATACAAAGGTATGGGCCAAATGAGTTCAGTTATGTTAATTTGATTCAACACCATGGTTCTGGGTGGTGGTACACACAATTTGGGTAAGCATGAAAAATCATCACGAAGATGATATATTTGCCATCTGCTGGGGTAGGGGTGAATAGCAAAGGTCCTCACTCATAAGAGTGCTGGAGACTCAGACTAGCAAAACTAAGATAGTTTATTTTACAGCTTTGCAAAGTCCAGTATCAGCCTATGAGGACTGATGGACATGTTGACCGTGCAGAGGATGGTTTATAAATGCTAATAAATGACCCTTTTTCCTGTTCCTCTTACTGAATGATTAGGAGGGCACAGCCCTGCTATCATTCATATTGTCTTTTCTCAACAAAAACTATACATAAGTTCATGTCTACATGTTACATCCTGTTTGTTTTAAAGCTTATCAGATGCAAGACCTTGTGTCAAGCTTGGCCATTAGGTCTTTTATTTATTTATTTATTTATTTATTTATTTATTTATTTATTTATTTATTTATTCATTCATTCATTCATTCATTCATTCATTCATTCATTCATTCATTTATTTTGAGACAGTGGTTCTCTGTGTAGCCCTGATTGTCCTGGTACTTGCTCTGTAACCCAGGCTGGCTTTGAACTCAGAGATCCACCTGCCTCTGCCTCCCAAGTGCTGGGATTAAAGTCATGAGCCACCACCCTCCATCAAACTTGGCCATGAGTAATTTTCTCCTCTGAACTTACAGTTTGGGTGTGTCTTGAAGGGGGTAGCTTAGCAGGGTTTGGATTGGGGTCAGGGAGGGGGCACTAGTAGATTAGCAGGCATTGGTTAGACTCTAAAGCAGTGGTCCTCAACCTACCTAATGTGGTGACACTTCATTACAGTCCCTCATGGTGTGGTGACCCCCAACCATAAAATTATTTTTGTTGCTACTTCATAACTGTAATTTTGCTACTGTTATGAATCATAGTGTGAATATTTGATATTCAGGATATCTGATATGTTGTTACACCATGGTCAAAACAGATGTTTTTTTTCTCTCTTAGGTTGTTTCTGACAGGTGCTGAGGTTACAGTGACGAAAAAGCAATGAATACACCAAGTACTGACCTACAGAATATCAACTCTGTGACAGAAAGAAATCCATTAGTTTAACAGAAAAAAGAAAAGTAAAAGCTTGAAAGTCCCCTACAGATAAAAGTGTTAAAAATTTTTTAAAAGGAAAACAAACCAAATCAAACCAAAATAAAACTAGTATCAAAAATTTCAAAGTCAATTATGATGGTTATTTTTTAATTGTCAACTTGACACAATCTAGAATTGCCTGGGAAAAGAGTCTCTGAGAGGAATGGTCTGGGTTACGCTTCCATGTGGACACGCCTGTAAAGGATTTACTTATTTGGTTTCACTGAGGTGGGAAGAAGACCCACTCTGAATATAGGTGTTGTATGATATTTTGTTTGTGTTCTAACAAATAAATTAGCTTGCCTAGAGATCAGAGGGCAGAGCTAGCCACTAGTTAACCAGAGGCCAGGCAGTGGTGGCTCACATCTTTAATTCCAGTACTTGGGAGGAAGAAGCAGGAAGATCAGGAGTTCAAGGCCACCTTGGGCCACATGAGATGGAACCAGTGTAAAAGAGAAACAGAGCCAGGCGGTGGTGGTGCACGCCTTTGATCCCAGCACGTGGGAGGCTCAGACCTTTAATCCCAGCACTAGGGAGGTGGAGAAAGGACTATAATGTGGGTGAGACAGGATCTCAACAGCCCATTCAGTCTGAGAATTCGTAGAGACAGGATCTCGGCCCCCATTCACTCTGAGATTTCATAGAGGTAAGAAGTCTCTCTAGTGGCTGCTGCTCTGCGTCTCTGATCTTTCATCTTTCACCCTCAATGTCCAGATTTTTATTGTGAAGACTAATTAGGGCCGTGCTTCATGTGGGTGGTACCCTTTCCTGGGCTGGACCCTAGAAAGTGTGAAAAGGACAGCGAGAGTTGAACACTGTTAGGCAGGCATGCATTAACGCTCTTTCTTCTCTAGATGTTTGAGATGATCTGCTTCACATTCCTGCCACCTTGATGGACTGTACCCTAGAACTGTGAGCTAAAATAAAACCCCTCTCCCCCTCTAAGTTGCCTTTCTTAGGGTATTTTATCAGAGCCACAGGAAATGAAACCAGGACACTGATATACAAGCAAAGAAATAAGACATTTCCAAGAGCAGTGAAATAAAGTGCAACCCAAACTCTTTATAAAAACTACCAAGTCCTGCAGAATATACTTTCAACCTGTGATACTTTATCCAACTCTGCCATCAACCTGAGGGAGTCCCCTAAGGGAAGATTATTATCTCACCCACTGTGGTAATTAATATTGATTGCCAACCCCACAGGATCTAGGATCAAGGAAACAAGTCTCTGGGCCTGTCTGGGAGAGAATGTCTAGGTTAAGTTAGTTGAGGTTGGAAGACTCCACACTAAAAATGAGCAGTGCCGTTCCACGGGCTGGGTTCCCCACAGCATAAAAAGGAGGAA